AAAAAAAAAAAAATATAATATTAGTATTTTACGGGGGGTTGATCAAACAACAAATTTCTGTATGTTAAAAATAGTGTAAGATTTCTTTTACACAAATTTAGCAAGTAGTTTAACTTTGCCTCAACAGGCTGATAAAACAGAAACAAAACTGTAAGTGTCGGTATTACTTTTGTTAAACTTGATGAATGAATCACAGTTGCAATAAAACTAATTACATAGACATTCGCTCATATTGATACATGCAAAATTTTTGGTCTCCATTATTTGGAATATTTGATGATGTTTGACAACGTCGATCCTCCTCGTCTGAATCTGAATCTTTGTCTATGTCACCATTTTCAAGATGTGCTGCAGCTTCCAAACTTTTTTTATGCATTCCTGAAAAAAAAATCAGAAAAATTTACAGGTTTAAGAGGAAAAGGGATCTGAAAAGATTTTTTGTTTGAAGTATTGTTGTTAGAGAATCAAATCGTGATTTTTCAGATTAATTAATTGTTTAAAATGTTTAATTTATTTTTCAAAATTTTTGTTTTTTTTAGATCGATTGTTTGTTAATATAGATTGTCGTTAAACTAAGTTCACCTAAAAGCCACGGTGCTGCTGGTTCTGTAGAATTTTCCGATGATTTTGTTATTGTTTCCGGCAATGGTAACGAGTGTCGAACCATTGCACCATATAGTCCATATTCAGCCATAATTGTGCTTTTTCCCCACGTTTTTTCAGTTTTCCTCCATTTAGCTCGACGGTTTTGAAACCAAACCTGAACTGAGCTATCAGTTTTTTCTTTCTTTTCTTTTTTCTGTTTTCTTAATTTTTAAATAATTAAGTGGTTATTTATTTGACAAATTAGTATAATATTATTTTGGGTCTATTTTTAATTCCTGCTCGTGATAGACAAAATTTGACTGATACCTGTATACGATCTTCAGCAAGATCTGTCTTCATTGCAAGTACCTCGCGGGCATACATATCTGGATAATGAGCTTCCTGTAATCAGTTTTAGTTACTGTGACTGTCATATTTTTTTGCTTTTCACCAAATATTCACTGGAAAAAATTTTTTTTTTTAATTTTGGATATATAAAGAAATTGGTAGAAACTTACTTGAAATGCTTTTTCAAGTTCATCAATTTGATACTGTGTAAAAATAGTTCGATGACGGCGTTTCTTACGTTTACTGGAACTTTTTTTAACATTTGGTGCCATTATTGCTACATCATTGCCGGCTTCTGAAGCCATTGGTACACCGGTTGCATTTTGGTAATCAAAACGGCCGATACCTACACTTATAAACATATAGCATGTCTTGTTCATACTAATTAATTAATTAGCTACATCTTTTGCCGTAACTGGCTTATAAGCATATAGATGGAAAAATATAGAAAGCAGTGGCATTTAATAATTTGCGCAGATCAAATTTATTTCTTCAAATTGAATTTATGCAATTTTTTAAATGAGGATAAAAAGAAATTATTTTTATTATTACTCTTATTATTACTACTGTTGCTGTTATTATTATCGTTTTTATTATTATTAA